AGGTATTCGGTAGAGAAAACCTTCTGAATTTCCTACGCAATTGATATTCATTTTCAAACTTTTACTCCATATTCGTTTGAATTTATGATGCTGTTTTTTTCACTATTTTACGATTGTATACGGTGATAAATGTTCCTGGAGTGTGATAAGCTGATAATCCATCCATTAGGATGAATAAAGCTATATTTAACTTGACTTGACTTATTGTGATCATTTTGTGCAGCTGCGACTACTTAAATTGAGATTCTAATCGCTATTTTTCCATATTCAAACAATGAATTCGTGTCACTCGAGCTCTTTTATGGGATACCCTCACTTAGATTCCAGAGGACCGACCATGGACACCGTGCAAAGGCCACCTTTGGATACAGTTCAGGAGCCTACTCAACCTGTACTTTGGCGTGGAACTAACAACATCGGTACCAGTCATCAGGTTGCATCACAGGGTAGTCAGAACGGTTCAAAAGTACACAGTGCAATCACGGATGATGAATCCAGTGGCAGTAGCTCGGATGAAAGCAGTACGGGTACACCGAACAGGCCTCACTTCGGTTTACCTTCTGATGGCGTTTGCCCCATGACCAAATCCCCGCCCGTTGGTTCGTCTCGTTGTAGTCCGGTGGAGAACACCGCGTCTAGCGACACGCGTCCTCAACCGGGAAGAAATCTGAGACCAGAAAACGATCATTCGACGATCCTAACCACTGAGACTGACACACCAGACAGCTGCATGCAACAGAATCAAAAACCACGTGGCTCTTTCGACTATCTCAATGACGCGCTGACTAAAGTCGGAAAGTATGTTTATTGTCTTTTTATCTCTCGCATTATTTGACTGTTACAGTCCTCTTCGTCATTTTCCTACTGGTTGTTACTCGTTTGCGCATAAATGGAATACGAACATGATATTGGAACTGGCTTGTCCACTGTCCTTCATACTTTTGTGTTATACTGTTTGCTATGATTCTACTATTAACGTAAACATTACTAGCTTAAAATTTCTGTAATTCTGTTTTCTGTGCTCCCTCAGGTCTACCTCGGACTTATTAAGTCGCTTCAACTTGCGTGATTGGTTAGGCACAAGCACACCAAGCACGCCTATTTCGGACTACACTCCGTGGAATGGACGACGAGCTACGACCGCTGGTCTTACCACGCCGGGTAGTAACCGAATGCCTCGTCGGGGTCTTTTACAACACACGTTTGATGAAGATGATAATAGTGATGATGACGAACGATTGCATGTGGGATGGTGTGCCGGAGATGGGGAACATCAGAGCGCATCTAATCCGGATTTCTGGTCTCCACGACAAACACAGGTCGAAATCGAGTCGGCCAGACCCACCGTACCAAACCCCCGTAAGTTCTCCCATAAGTAAAGCCTGTTGTGATGGGTAATACGGCCCTGCCAAAACGATTGCTCTTAACCGCTAATATGTTCGTTCCTGAGCGCTATTCAATAGTGCAGGTAATTCGTTCTCTTTCTCCTATGCTCTCGTCAAAATCCTGCTTTTCAATCTTTCCATCACGGTTAGTATCTTCATGCACCTGATTCGTAACCATATATTCATCGTCCTAGTTAATCATGTCACATTGCTACGCATACGTGCATGTCTCACTGTACGAAAGATAGTCAGTTGTCGGACGACTGCTCCTATACCTGATATGAGAAGCCTTCACTTTGATTTTTGAAACTGTCACTTTCAATTGAAAAAGAAACGCTTTGGTTGGATCCGCTTCTGTTCAGTCCACGTCATTGGTCATTTGTTCATACGTTTTATCTACCCCCTGAGTAACTACCTGTCTTCCCACGCTCCCTCTGTGTTGAAATGAGGCAAACCTCAATCTTGCATCATGTGGAGCTCGCTGACGGACATCGATTTGATGAATCGGTGAATCCGTGCCACTTGCGTGAGACAGTTGAGCCGTACCCAACTTTCGTCTATGATAAGACTTCCCAGAAGAACAGTACAACGCACACTATTTTTTATTACGTTGTTCCACTGTGCCAACCAGCAAGTAACTGCTTGTATGAACAAATCCGATTTAAAAATCTTCTATCTCCGTCACATAATCCTGCATTTCTGCTGGAAGTATGCTGCAGTTCATTACTGATTTATTCATAGTTTTCTCTGTCTGCATGCTCACTGCAATCTTGTGAAAGAAATGTTCGCTGTAATGCTATTTTATTTGTGGGTGTTCTTGGTGCAGCATTGTTTCTTCTGCTCTTAACTTCCAAATTATCCCCTTGTATCCAACGAACCGCCTGAGTTCTGTTTCGTCCAGTTCTACTGGTTATTGAACCAGGAACGGTTAATCTACAGTAAAGGCATTACTGGTTGTGGTTGCTAGGTCATTGATGAAAAATAGCTCAGGCAATTAACTTCACCGGAATCACTCCAACTCAAGCCAGTCAACACATTTTGCCGTTTGAATAGACCCATGAACCACGTCATTATAAATGCATCACTCGGAGTACACCGTAAACATTGAACTCGTCCTTGATGACGGTTAATGTGGTAACCTTTAG